GCAGGTCCCTATCGCATTGTGCAAAAGCGTCGGATCTTTCCCAAGGATGGACAAAGCTTCGACACGCTTCGTAGAGGCTTCCAAGGTTTGACGTGTTCTACCTTCGTTTAAGCTGTCGGTTCTAGATAGGTTTAAGCAGTTGTAAACAGGCACTTAAGTAATAAAAAAAAAACAGATGACTGAATATGCTGGCGATGTATATATATATGTAGGCACACAAATGAGGGCAGTGTTTCTTGGTGCTTGAACCACGCAAGATCATAGGGAATCGAGTATCCCCGCAGAAAATCGCGCCTCATATATTCCCCGCTGGACACCCTAAACCTTAAACTTTTCACCGTAAACCCTAAACCCCCAAAAAAGATATACAACCCGACGTAGAAGCTCTACAGAACTCTTACATAAGCCCGTCAAAGGTCCCTAGGCCTTTTAGGGGGATTCAAGAGACCCTTAAGGGTACACATAAGGTATATAGTATGGTATGTCAGATCGTAGAGTCAAGGGGCACTTGCGGCCATCTTTTCCCAAACCCCTGCGCCTTGACCTGAAGGCGCGTAGGCCTGCCTTGTGGCCTTTTGGGTGACGTAGCCTGCAGTGAAGGCCTGAGTTAAGTCACGGTTTGAATTGTTTATGGTTTAGGGTATAGGGTTCAGGCTTTGGGGCTTAGGGTTCGGTAGTGTGGGAAGTTTAGGGTTTAAGGTGGAGGGTTTAGGGGTTTACGGCGTGTGGCGACCCGCGCATGTAGGTCCTTTCTAGGTTTGGTATGGTCTGTTGCTTGTCAGGATCCCTAGACAATACTACGTTGGATGGTGCAGGTAGGTCAAGCAACACATCCAAAAAAGAATATGAAGCTGCAACTCTAGATGATAGGGGCAATTAGGGTTTGGGATTTGATCAAATCATTTTGGCAACCCCAGCCCAAAAACAAGGACTCTACTACGTCTAACATATGACTTGGTATTGGGTGTTTGTTACAGAGGTTGGGGCACCAAAGCTCTTTTCTCGTCTGCGGAATGAAGGATTAGGGCTTAACATTTGCAGTGTTGAGCTCAAGATGTAGTTGGGGGATACCTTTATAAGGGTTTTTGTAGGGAAATAATTGGGTTACATAGGAATACATACGGTTCCTGCATGGCTCAGGGCTGGGGCGTGTGCTTGAGGAGTTAGGAAGTCAGTTTCACCGGTAGCTGCCTAGAATCTTCGAGTCTGCTTTTAATCTGGGAGGGGGTCGTACACCAGCACATAGCAAGTCATAGCAGGCACCCATGGAATCAACCCATCAACAGGTTCTACGGACTTGCGGTGTAAGGCTTAGCATAAGATAATATAGACCATAATATACCATAATATAAAACAATATACCATAATGCACCATAATCTACTATAATCTACAATAATATATACTGTACTATACTATAGTATACCATAATATACCATAATATACTACAATATAACCCCTAAACCCTAAACCCTAAACCCTACCCCTGATGTACTATAATAATTGGAGTTCGGGTTGAGATGCTTAGGCTTCTTTAGGACTAGCACCTTGCCCCAACCAAAAGGTTCCCCGAGAATTCTCCACCTTAAGCCCTACATGGTTTAGGGTTTAGGGTTTAGGGTTCCTACCTTAAGCCCTACACTTGAATCCTGGAACCTGAACCCTACTGCAAACGGCAGGCCCGGAGGAACTTAACAAGTAGGTTCATCATTGGGACAACTGGGCTAGTATATGGCTTGTAGAAATCATAAGCAGACTCCCTAAGTTTGCCTACCCTGAAGCCAAATCCCCAAAATATAGGGCCCACTCTTACACGGTTTTGGGTTTAGGGTTTCGGGCTTAGGGTTTAAAGTTACCGGCGTTAAGGTTTAGAGCTTTGGGCTTCAGGACTTCGAGTTTGGGGTTTGAGGATTTCTGGGCAGCGTCTTTTCTCGGGTCGGCTTTCCATTGCTGCTCGCGCATCACGTACCTTGAATGTGTGCGTGTATGTATGTATGTATGTATGTATGTATGTACGTACGTACGTACGTACGTATGTATGTATGTGTGTATGTATGTATGTATGTATGTATGTATGTATGTATTATCAAAATTTCCAGGACGCTCCGCACCGGAACGCGATTATCGTCAAAATTTTCAGGACGCTCCGCACGGGAGGACGCTCCGCACGGGAGCGCGATTTTCATCAAAATTTTCAGGATGCTCCGCACGGGAGCGCGATTTTCGTCGAAATTTTCAGGACGCTCCGCACGAGAGGAGCGCGATGTTGGACGCTCCGCACGGGAGCGCGATTTTTCTCAAAATTTTCGAGACGCTCCGCACGGGAGTGCGATTTTTTTCAAAATTCTCCGCATGGGAACGTACTTTTTCTCAAAATTTTCAGGACGCTCCGCACGGGAGCTTCAAAATTTTCAGGACGCTCCGCACGGGAACGCGATTCTCCTCAAAAGAGGACGATCTCGAGCGAATCAGTTTGGTATAGAATCGGTATAGAAACCGTTCCTTGAAACGATCAAAATTTGAAGGACGAATCCGACGAATCATATACCAAACGCCCAAGAACCTCCCTCTTGAGAAGATCAATCGACGAAATTTCTAGGACGTCTCGAGCGGGAGCGCGATGTTTAAAGATAAATCATCAAAATTTTCAGGACGCTCTGCACGGGAGCGCGATTTTCGTCAAAAGAGAACGAACGATCTTGAGCGGATCAGTTTGGTATAGAATTGGTATAGAGATTGTTCCTTAAAGGATCAAAATTTGAAGGACGAATCCAACGAATCATACACCAAACCTATACCAAAACGCCTCCCCCAAGAACCTCCCTCTTGAGAAGATAAATCGACGAAATTTCTAGGACGTCTCGAGCGAGAGCACGAATTTTTGAAGATACGAAAATGTTCAGAGGCTCAAAAAAAGCCAACTGTCTCGCACGAAACACAATTTTGGATATTTTATAAAGTCCGAAAAGCACGATTGTTGGAATATGTCTCGAGCAAGAGCGCAATTTTTGAAAATCAGCACCGCGACCAAACCGTATTCGACCCCCCCTAGCAAGACTACTTTAAAGGCAATCTGGCCTCTCAGCTGGATCCATCGTGGACATCGAAACATTCACTTTTTCGAGGACGTCTCGAGCGAGAACGCAATTCTTGAAGACACAAGATGTTCCGAGGCTCAAAAAAATCCAGCTGTCTCGCGCGAGAGCGCAATTTTGGACATTTTATAAAGTCCGAAAAACACGATTTTTTGAGGATGTCTCGAGCGAGAGCGCAATTTTTGAAAATTAGCACCGCGACCAAACCGTATTCGACCCCCCCTAGCAAGACTACTTTACAGGCAATCTGGCCTCTCAGCTGGATCCATCGTGGACATCAAAACAATCACTTTTTTTTTGAGGACGTCTCGAGCGAGAGCGCGCTTCATTAAAAAACGGAGCGCGTCCAAAACGCTTGCGCGACGGAAGAGCACGCTGCGGGCACCGGGCGACGGCACATCGAAATAATTAAACCCCACACTAGATGTGGGCAATAAAACGAAAGATCAAGTAGCAATGAGCCCACAGCTTGCACATCTGCCCAAACACACTGGCAACAGCACCGACATTTCTCCGTCGCGCATTTCTCACAGGCGCTCCACACGACACGACCAGCATCACCTCAAACAAGCCAAGAATGAAATAACAACACAGAGTCGAATTCCAGACAATCGTGCTCAGGTCCGGACCCACTCCCCGCATTTGCAGGTCTCAAGCGGGAACAGGTCCCCAGCCGAGTTCCGGAGATGCACGCCAAGAAACTTCAGAACGTAGCCGCTTGGATAAAGCGACGGGCAAATTAAGAGGCAGCGCGCAGTATGCAATTCCTAGTGTTTGCTTCACAATCAATACCAAGAGCAATTCTTGCAAACAGTTTTGTTGGGGTGTTGCACAGAGAAGAGGAGCAGGTCAGCTGAACCCAACAATCAGCAAGTCAATCCTTTCCCACACGAACATCTCAGACAACTCAGCCCGCAACCCAGAAAGGACACGGACGAACAGGAACCCGAGCCAACTGCAGAAGCTCCGGCACGAGGCTGCCCAAGATCCCTCTCGTTGCTGCCTTCGCCAGCGAACTCCGGAACCAGCAACTTCTCCGAAGGTGTATCCATTTCACCCGTCTTGGCTTCCAAAGCCGCTTCAGATCTCTCATGGAACCAGCTTCGTGATCCTATCCACTTCCCCTGGTGGACGCCTAACACGTCCTGGATGTCCGCCACGTTCGAATCCTTCGACCCCAACAGCATCGTCACAGCAGCATTAAAATCGAACCAGGACCGGCTCTGCTGCCAGTATGCGAATCACCGGTTGGCATTCATCAAGCGATGCAACGGCAAGCGCACCTTTTCACATGTACGAGAACTCTTGTGCCTAAAAGTTACGGCAAAATTCTTGAAAGTCTTGATGAGCCCCTCCCTGTTTCAGAGTAGCTGCAGCAGCAAGCAACCAACTTACAAGTGACACCTAAACTGAGTGCAGCATGAGGGGCAAGGGGAGGAAAAAATGGTGGAAACACAGCGAGATCATCCGGCAAGAGGTTCAAGTCCTACGGTGTGCCCAAATTCAAATCTCGATATGAGCCCCCCGCCTGTTCCTAAGTCGCTTGTCTCACCATTTGCACGACAAAAAAATGCAAACCTCCCTTGCATGCAAAGGAACCCAAGGAATGTGCACAGATGAGGGGACCACACCGACAGGAAAAGGCTTGCTCAAGGAGCAGTTCGTGGTCTGGAGAGTGGAACAAGCCCAACGCAAAAAGACCAGGTACAACAGCACAACAGCACCAGCCGCCACACGGGCTAGTTTGGTGGAAATGGATGGTCTCAAGATGATGATGCTGACAGGAACCTGATCAACTTCGATTTCCGCCGGAAACAAAATCGCATACGTTCAGTACACAAAGAACTTAGGGCTCAACAAGTCCGTGCACAAGACGAGTTACAGCTCGCTACAGTCCGCTGTGAGGCCTTGCGTTGGTCCAGGCCCAATTGGCAAACATCAGCACGGAGCAGGAAGATGTCCTCGGGCGCTGAAGAGAGCAAGATAAAAATTCAGAAATCCATAGAATCATGCCAAGAATCTGTGCACTGCATTAGTGGATACAAGATCTGTGCTGCCGTGAGATTTCCCTCTTCACGGCCCATGATGGTGCAACACCTCCCAAACGAAGAGATGAAGTAAATCTCCTCAAGTCAGCAAGCAGAGAGCAGAAACCCCAGCAGAGCCAACCTCTTGACTCGTAGCAGGGAGGTGACCCGGCTGATGTCCAACATCTTCGTCCAGTACCTTAAAGACTACACTGACCAGAGACTAGAACCTCGCTGAAAGCAGAATGGCCAAGGAGCTCCTTTGCATTCTCTTCGATGAACTGTGAAGTCCAAACAAAGCGCACGTTTTCCATTTTCATGCCACAGGATTTCCACACGTGTACAAAGTACATGCCGGTGTCCTGACGCACCCGAAAGCTTGGGAGACAGCATTAGCAGTGGCCACAGCGGAACAGCGTCCCTGCCTGGATTTTCTTCAAATCTCCACCCATCTTATCATTCATTAGCCCAAACCAATCTGCAACATAGAACTTGAAAATTCCACCAGCTTCTGTACACTTGTTCACCTCGGTTTCATGCGCCGCGGGCTCAGCGACATATTCTCAGCTCAACTGCATTCATCAATCGTTACAACTTGTCACGTTGATAGCTTTGAAGAGGCCCTGCGCAATGTGCATGCGCCCTGAGGGCTCAAACCCATCGTAAAGAATGAAGTCTTTCTTTCGCCTGAGTCTGGCTTCTTTAACTGTAGACTGGCATGCCTTGTTGAAAACGAGCGAAAACGACCGCTCAGGAAGACAGGAAGACAGACCCAAGCGGCGCGAGCAGCTCGCGAAGCTCTGGCTCGGTCTGACCTTTTTTGCAAAACATGGATTTCACATGTCCTTCACCAGTCCCTCAACATGTCATTCACAACCATGACTTTGAAGCATTCTGAAACAGTCACGTGACACTCTTCGCCCACACTGCGCAAGAGTTGAAACTTTCGTTCAAGGTCATCCCCAGCAGCGGGCGTAGTGACCGCGGCGCCATAGCCAACACGCTTCTGCACCTTTCCACTCAGGAAGAAAAGGCTTTTCGCAAAAGAGTGCGTGATGCAGGCATTTTCCTTGTACTGAGTGAGAGCACCGCGGGTCCAATCTCATCGTGCACCAAGGCCATGTTGAGTTCCGATAAGCAAACCACGTGATGTTGTTGCTGGCTGGGCTAAGGGGCTAGGCTTGAACTCGCCGCTTGCAAGGCTCATGCGCCGCTGGACTTCTACCCTTTTTCCCTAAAGCCAGCAGAGCAGCAAATGGATGGAACTCAACGCCACCCGTCACCCTCCACCATGGATCATGCGTCACGCAATACCTCACATGCACCCAGTGAAATATCTTTTCTGGCCAGCCTGCTGTCACCTGGCAACGGGCTCAAAATTAGAGTAGCTTGCACCGCACTAGGTCGCCGCCTTGAGTCCATCCGCCCCTCCATGGCAAGGAGGAAGGCTACAACAGCCTGGAAACTGACAGCGACTTTGGGAACTGCTTTTCATTTCTGCAGTTGCGCGCCTTCTGGCATTCCGCTTCAGAGGACTCCATCACAAGACCTTGCGGTAGCTTCTCAATTCTCAGCATGCAGGCAGTGGTGAAACTAGAATCAAAAGCTGAGGATGTGTCTTCGGCAGGGAACTGGCCTCATTGATTTAGACAGGACGCGTCTATAGCTGTTAGAGAAGATAGGCCGCCAGCGTTTGCACCACAGCATGTGTGGAAACTTTAGGTTTGCCTGGAAGATGCTCCACCTGAAATATGTTTGTTGGCAAATTCTTGTTCGTCGCTGAACGCAGTTGAGATCTTGCCTGGGCAACCCGGTCCTCGGGCAGCAGGAGCTGCAGTCGCCGGTGTTCTGCGCCTCCAGCAGAGCTGCAGTAGCGCAAGGCTGCAGAAGCCACATCCTCCAGGGCAAGTGTATTCGGAAACTGTCTGCTCCTTTCAGCTCTTGTCTGACCGTCTTGATTCTCAGTCCTCCGCTAGCCCCCAAAGCTCCAAAGTCACCTGCAAGCAAGCCTGTGCCTTGACCCATAGCACACATTCGCAGAGGCTACGGCAAGCTTAGGCGGGTACGAATGGCAGAGGCCAGGAGTATTTCCTGACCAGCACTCCTTAACAGCATTCTGTCAAAGCCAGGCCGCCAGAGGTTTTGAGGCTGAACGAAACGGAGGAAACGGAGGAAACGGAGGCTAGGGCCAGGGCCGAGATGGTCTTGCATCAAGTTTAAGTAATGCTCAGAATCCATCAGGTACCTTCAACAAATAGAGCGTGCCGAGGAGGAAATGGGAAGAAGAGGTCAAAGCCGTACTCACACCGCTGCGGGTTGCCCTGGCGGAGTAGCGCGCGAGCCTGACACCAGGATCCATCAAGACATTCACTAGCAGCGGAACGGCAGATGCCGATGGCCTCAGCGTGGGTCAAGGTTACACGCCTCAGAGATGGCGAGGACAAGGAGTTGGCATGGCAGAGAGCTGGGGAGCAAATCAGACAACAGGAAAGCAAAGGAGGGCAAAGGAAAGCCCACGCAAGGTTACGCCGCAGTTCTCCAGTCCTCAAATTTCTGAAGCCCGGGCAGCGGTGATAGAGCTCGGACCTGGCCCCAAGACCCCGACACAATTCACATGCCAAACTCATGCAACCTGCTGCAACCTGCTGCAACCTGCTGCAACCTGCGAACCAGCCTTTTGCATGTTAGACCATACTTTGTTTCATCAAAGCTATACATAATCACTCTGGCAGATGGTGCCCCTCAATTCAAGTCAAATGGCAGCATAGCCTCTTCGGCACCCAAGCCGTCGCCATCAGAATAAACCTTGTACAGTCAGATTTGGCAAACCTTGTGGCGTTGCAAGTACATCTGCAAACACGTTTGGCATGCTTCAAACATGGCAGGCCAGCAAAAAAATCCACAATGCGCCCTGCCCGCATCCATGGCATCGCAGTGCCCAGCGCCTCAAGACAACCAACTCACAAATCATGGTGTTCTGCAACTCCTCAGCTCCTGGCAACCACATCCCGCTGGCTCACGTAAATTAAGCCCCAATGCCTGGAGGCCTCTGCGACAGTTGTGCTGGAAATTCTGTTGCCATCTAACAGGACTGACCACCTGATCATGATCAATCTTGGAAAGGGGTGCGATCCAGCCCATGTAGCCCCGCCTACAAAGCACGAAGCAACACCCATTTGCGTCTGAAAGCTTCTTTTCAGGTTCCCACCATTCCGTGATGAGGCCTTTGCATCGAACCTGTGTGCTCCACCATGTTCGTGCCACAACTGCATTGCCAAAAGTTCCAGCCTCCTGAATGCGTTGGCGCGGCCTTAGCCCACACAAAGTTGAATTAAAAGACACATGGCCCGCAGTGTGCGCGGCCCGCCGGCTTCGGGCCAAACCTCTAAAACACGAAGGAAGTTCGAAAGCTGATGCGATCAAACAACAAAGTATCTGGCCGGGTCTTGCGCCGCCTGAAATGAGTACAATTTTCCAAACAATGTTATGTCTGGCATGTTCAATCCTTTTGCCTCACTTTTGACCCTCCACTGACCGCTTTGGGCCTGCACCGCAAGTTGTTCAACCAACAAGCTGGTTTCTTGCAAACTCTTCATGGTGCCTTCCTTGCAGTAGCCGCACGGGCCATGATGTTCGAGTATCACCCAAACCAACTGCTTAAGCCGGGTAATATTTCATGTCAAAGCTTTGCTGCTGACATCCAATGATGCGTGTCTGTACACGGGTTTGCAAAAAAAACTGCGGGAAAACGGTTGTGGATGTTTGTCGCAATCCGTGAATTTGAGGCCCATGGCCGCAAGATATATGGACACCTTTTGTGCTTGCAGGCACGTAGGCAACGTAATTGAACAATGCACACGCATGCTTGCAATTTCCATGACTCCGTGTTTGTAACATTCATGATTCCGGGTTTGCAACATTCATAATGTTTGGCAAAATAATATGATCAAAGATACTGTCACTGCGGACTCAATGCTCCAGCAGATCAATCATTGAGTGCTGTGGACGCTGGTGATTTTCGTCGCTTCGTCAACCCACTCCTCCATTCCTGTGACAAACTTGATGCCTCTGGCCTTGCCCATGCACCGTAAAATGGACCCAGCTGGGTTTAGGGACAGTCGTGGAAAACTGTCGACGGCCTGCCTCATCATGCGTCCTATGGCACATACAACAATAGGATACTGTATAAAGAACTTTCAATGCTCCACAAAAACCCGCGCCTGTCCGGATGAAGGACCAAGTCCATGAACTGCGGGCACCAACTTGCAGACTAGGCCTATGGTCGGGGCAGCGATCGCTACCCAGCCCGCGGACTGGCAAAATGGCGTTGTCGTCCTCGAAACACTGCATACGAAGTACACTCGCGTCCTATTATTATGAACACGCGTCTAGAACTGTGGACTTTGTTTCCAAAAATTGTTGGAAGGCATACCAAACAAACTAGGCAAAATCAAATAGCAAAAGCATCACAAAAGTCCCGCACAATAACAGCGGATTCATCAAATATATATATATATATGAGGAACCTTTGTGTATGATATGATGATTGTCTTTGTTATTAATGCTACTATTACTGCTTGTACATGAGAGTTCTGCGCAAGTGAAAATGTTTTGATACACCAAACGCCTGCGGAGTGCACATAAGTCGACATGTCAACATGGGAGCATGAAAGTAAATCAACACATGAAATACCATGCCATG